TTCTTAGTGAACTGGGAAATCACTACAGGATTTTGAGTGGAGGACTCAAAATCTGCTTTATGTTTTATATAGATCACTCTGGCTCATAGATAAGGTGTAGACTGTGTGGACTCAATGATACATTTTAGGGAAGTCTTTTAGGACATGATTCCAGTTGTCAAGATAAAGCATGTTTCTCTTATCAGATGGTAGCAGTAGCAGTGGATAGCAGATATGATATAGGGGTACAATTAGATTGATTTTTATATTAACTGGATAGTGGGGTATAAAAAGAAGTCAAGGATGGCCCCCTAAGATTCGGACCAGAATGCTGTGGGATGTTCTGTATGGCAAATGTGTTGCTAATTAGTCAATAAATAAAACACTGATTGGCCATTGGCTAGGCAGGAAGTGTAGGCGGGACAAGGAAGAGAATAAAGCTGGGAAGTGGAAGGCTGAGTCAGAGAGACACTGCCAGCCGCCATGATGAGAAACAGCATGTGAAGGTGCCGGTAAGCCACGAGCCATGTGGCAAGGCATAGATTTATAGAAATGGATTAATTTAAGCTGTAAGAACAGTTAGCAAGAAGCCTGCCACGGCCATACAGTTTGTAACCAATACAAGTCTCTGTGTTTACTTGGTTGGGTCTGAGTGGCTGTGGGACTGGCAGGTGAGAGAGATTTGTCCTGACTGTGGGCCAGGCAGGAAAACTCAAGCTACACCAGAACAGCTAGTACAACTGAGTTGGAAGAAGAAAAGATGGGAGAAGTTGAGATGGAGTGATCTTTGCAGGAAAAGTGTGTGCTTTGGACATACTAAGCTGGAGGTGACTTGGGCAGTAGAGTTCTGACGCCAGTACGCATCATGAGTTTAGAGGTTAGAGCTGAGGACATTCATGTCAGAGATAATGGGTATATGTGGTCACAAAAGGCTTTCAGGCTCAAGTTATAAGGTCAAGAAAAGGAAGCAGCAAAACTAACATAGAGACTGAGGGGTGATTGGGGGTGGGTGGGGGGAAGCCAGGAGAGGGTGGTGTATTGGAAACCAAAGATGGAAATGGAAGTGCTCAAGTGTGGGCTGAAGTTAGGTCAATGAGGAGAAGTCACAGCTGGAATTTAGAACAGAAGGGTCATTGGTGAGAGAGTCTTAGTTACTTTTCAATTGCTGTGATAAGACTCTTTGATCAAAGCAACTAGAAGAAAGGTTTTATTGTGGAGCTTACAGTTTCAGGAGATGAGTCCATAACCACTGTGGTGAGGAGCATGGCAGCAGGCAGGTAGGCATAGTGATGAAACAATAGATGAGAGCTTCATCCTGATCCACAAGCAAGAAGCAGAGGTGGCAGGACAACTGGGAATGATATGGACTTTTGAAACCTCAAAACCAACCCCAGTGACACACCTCCTCCAACAAGGCCACACCTCCTAATTCTTCCCAAGCAGTCCCACCAGCTGGGGACCAAGCATACAAATACATGAGCCTATGGGGGCCATTCTCATTTAAACCACCCATGAGTCAATAGTACTTTTAGTGGCTTGCTAGGAAATAGAATAGGTTTTAAAAGAACAGAAGGAAAGAAATGGGCAACAGTGCACATTGACTGTTCTTTTGAGTAATTTTGTTCCAAATGGAAACAAAGAAATGGGGTCATGACAAGAACAGTCTCAGTGGAGGTGACAGTTTGGAGAAAATAGGAACGGAAAAATTAAAAGAGAAAATATAACCAATTCTTTTGAAGGTTTATTTTTTTCTTTGAAGAAATGAGATGATGGTTGATAGAAATGTGGGCCAAAGAAAGTGCTGTTTTCTTTGTAAGTGATAGATAAAAAGGCTGGTGAAATGGCTCACTTGATGAAAGCATTTCCTACAGAAGCCTAACTGGCTCATGCTTAGTCCTCGGAACCCTTGGTACAGAAAAAAACCAACTCAGGAAAGTTCTCCTCTTGCTACCGCTTATTGAGATTTGGGCTGGGTATTTCCAGATTCTTGGTCTTTAATCTGAAGAACTGGAAATGTGGGGTTTATAGAGAGTTATAAAAAGAAGCAAGACAACTTTGTTTGGGGCAGAGTGATGGTTAAAGTTATAGAGGGAGACACTCAGGACTGATGGAGGCCCCCAAATGAGAACACTCAAGGGTCCAATTATTGTTTGGGTGCTTTCTTTAGTGGGGTTGGAGAGAAGGAGGAGTTTGGTTTTTAAAGGGTATAGTTAGAATGGCTCTCTATTTTGATTGATAGATTAAGTCATACATTTATTTTTCTTGCAGCACATGCCCTTTCCCATAATTATATGCAAACCCATATTATTCATAGGCATAAGATAGTTAACAGGGAATGCTTCCTTAAAGATTACTACAGGACGCAGTGCATGTGAAGGAATTGGGATACCAAGTGTATTACTACAAGAATGAAAGATGAATAACCCAAAACCAAATGGAGCTCCTGGGTTACTAAACTGTTTCCTCTATTTGTCTGCCTCACTCTGACTTTCATAGCACATACTCTCATACATACACATCATATACATTCATCATGCATACAATAATAAATTTTAAAAATTAAATTTGAGAAAAAGATGCATGTGTATATGATTCTGTGGATGATCTAAGAGAGAGCAAAGACTAATGGTGTAGGAGATGGGAGGAGAGTTATCAAACACATGCCTTGATAGATGAGATAGAGCCTGAGTGCAGCAGGAGTCAGACATTTAATAGAAACATGACAATTTTACCTCTGATAACTGGCAGGAGGGCAGAGTGTGAGGATGGGTACACAGGTGAGAGAAAGGATAACTAGATTCATGGAACTGTCTTCTGAATGCTTCAGCATTCTCAGAAAAGTAGAAAGCAAGAGGAGTAAGCATGAGGACATGACAAGAGCCTGTGGGACTCTGAGGAGAGAAAAGAAAGTGTGAGAGTTACCGTGAGAATATATGGGTGACTGGACTGTGGGGTGATGTTCAGACAGCATTAGAGTTGTGAATTTGAAACTTAGCACTCACCATGGTTGTGAATCTTCCTCCAGCCCCAAGCAGTCTCCAGGTGCAATGTGAGAAAGCAGAGTTGTATTTAGTCAGAGCTGAAGCAAGAATAGCAAGTATGATTGCAGTAATTGGTCTTAGAATTCCAGCTGTAAGGACAGAGATGCACAGAGGAGAGGGTCAGTGAAAAGGTGGTCTGACTGTGGGCAAGAGCCTGGATACTGAAGGGTTACAAAGGCAAGCTAGAAGTGTGAGAGAGAGTGGGCTGCAGAGGATTTGTCAGAATCCCACTTTTCTGTCCGTGTGGGGCTATCATGGGGCCAGTTGAAGTCAAGGTCATTGCCGGTTGGAAGCGAGTGAACTATGAGGCCAGGGTTGGAAGGATCCCCTGTGTGCATATTGAAATCATTGAAATTGAAGACCAGAGAGAAGCAGAAATGAGCCCAGAACCCATTCTCAATAAATGTGGGGAATGATATGTATAATGCAAAGTAGTCTGATTCATCAGGACATTCAAAGCTGTGTCTGTATTGTAGAGCTAAGGTACAGGGCCACCACTTCTGGGTAAACTTTCACTATCGGGAAAGCAGACACTCAAGAATTTCATATTTCTAACATTGCAGACCCTGTTATATACTATTTCATTTTCTTTTAAGAACCTAAAATACCACATATACAATAGGCAATCAAAAATAAGAACCATATATCCTTTTTAAAAATTAAATGTGAATGCTGATGATAGTCTTTGAGTTCAGTGTGAAATATTGTTTCCTTATGGTGTTCCATTCTGCTAGTGTCATCGGGAGGAACCAGAAACTATTGAAAAGAACAGTTGCAACCCTCAGGGAACACATTCTGCTTGCATCTTATTGTTGTTTCCGTTGTGTTGTTTTTAGAATTATCAAATAGAACTAATACAGAATTTCCAAAATGCAGTCAAAAGAGAAGAGAATGGAGCTAAGGGAAGAAAAAGGGGGCTTTTTGGGGACATTTCAGTTGAGTTACACATCTATCTGCTTGCAGAATTGCTGGCATATTTAAAATCTCTGAGAAACAGAAAAAGCGTGACTTTACAAAGGTAAAGTAAATGTAAGATGAAAGAAGAGAGCCTGTGAATTACAGCCATGTTTTCCTTTGACTCCTCAAATATTGTTACTCAGTTCCAATTTGTTTTGAAAGGGATACCTCACAAGCCATTTGACTTATTTAAACAGCCTTGTTTGTTCAGAACTATTGTTCATTGGACTAAGAAATGAAAAGCATGTTGGTAGGCCAGAGAAGAAACACATTGTTAATCTCCTCTTTCCCTTAGAAAGTAAATTAAAGCTGTTTGTAAAGGGCATGGTTACATAGAAGCCTTAAGTGGTTTCCTGAATGGCTTTGTAGCTGTGCCAGAGGCTCCTGCCTCTTAGAAAGATCATATAGATCATGTAAATGTAGACAGCAGGGGGAAATGTTGCTAGGATTTAGATACTGATTTATCTTAGATAAGTTAATAATTACGATTAACTGTTTTCAAGTATGCTCAAGCAGCAATACAGGCAACCGCCTCCTGAAGATGCAAGATACGGAAGGTCTGTGAAGTCCTGGCCCAGCTGACTGGCCTCGAGGTAGCAGAGACAGTTGGCAGGGCTAGCCCAACGCAGTCAGGGGTAGGCAGAGGTGCAGGCCCCTGACTGGACCTGGGTCCTAACCAGTGCCAAGTGCCTCCCCTTATGAATGCAGTAGAGTAGCAAAATACTAGTGTTATAGTGTTCACACTACATAATGCCCAAACGTCAGCCTTTATACCAGTTGTCGTTTTAGAATTTCTCAGAATTCACAAAAGTGTAACTAAATAAACTGAACAATGAATGCTTTTAAAATATAACAAAAAGTAAGTGTACATTTAGATGGCAAATTGTTCTAAAATGATCTATAGTTTTGGTTCAAGACAGGAGGCAGGGAAGCTATAAAAAACACTGAGTGCAGTTGGGGAAAATGGGGGTTTCGATTGATTATTAGATTTTAAAAAATACTTATTTTATATATGTGTGTGAGTGCCCCACGTATGACGTGCATCGCACTGTGTGCTTGGTGCCTGGGGAGGCCAAAAGAAGACAGTGAATCCCCTGGAACTGGAGTTACAGATGGTTGTGAGCTGCCATGTGGATGCCAAGTCTTCTGCAAGAGCAGTAAGTGCTTTCAACTGCTAAGCCATTTCTCCAGCTCCAGTGAACATTAGGTTTTTAATCAAATTATATGAATGGAGGGATGGAGGAAAGGAAAGCAAATACAGTAAATGTTAACTGGCCACACAGACACACACATGCATGCGTGCATGAATGCATTCACACACAAAGCACACAGAATCATTTAGTCTTACTGTTCCTTCTGTGTTTTGGTATATGTATAAAGACTGTGTTAGCATGAGTGTCAGCATGTAATCACCATTCTCTTTTTAGACTTGTGCACAAAGCACTTTTGCCAACTGAGCCATCTCACTGACCCAAAGAAGTTGTTTTGTTATTTTGGTTTTGGGTGGTCCTAGGGATTAAACCCAGGGCCTCAACCATGCTAGGCAAGTGCACTTTTCTAGCCCCATAAGCACCACAGTCTTGAAAAAAGCTGGATGAGGCAGATGATGAAAAGCAGCAAGGAAAGGGGGAAGAACACAGATATGATCTGCTGGACTTGGGCAGATACTTAGCATATTTGATCCCATGTTTTTTTCTTCTGTTTTATACATGCTGTCTGCAAAGGGTGATATGATGATTAAAATGATGACATACATTGCAGAGATTTTGTTATCTGGCTGTATTTATTCCTTGTCCCAGAGCCATTCTGCCATTAAGGCCCAGAGAAAGAGAGAGGAAGGATGCCTCTCAAAAGAAGGGGTATAATAGTAGTGATTTCCTACTAAAAGTATAGTCCAAAAATTAGCACCGTTGCCCTCACCTGGAGTTTGTTGGATAAACACAATTTCAAGACTTCCCTGAATTCTCTAAATTGGAGTCTGCATCTTAACAAGGTCCTGGGGCAATTCACCTATACATAAAAGCTGAGAAAGCTTGAACCTATGATGTGGCTCGGTGGGTAAAAGTGATTGCTGCCAAGTCTGATAGCCTGAATTAAATTACCCCACCTTACATGGCAGAAGGAAAGAATTGACTCCTGGAAGTGGTATACTGAGCACATGTGTGCTATGACAAACCACCCACATGCTAAGGAAGCAGAGAAGATACAATAGGATGCCTCCTTCCTTCTAGCCAAAGGGACTATGTGAAGAAGATGGAAGCCAGAAGTGAGGCACTTACCTGCTGACTTTCGTTTTCTGAGTCAGACTCCATAGAGGTGATCTGAGGATGGTCTAAAAGAAAGAAAGCCAAGAGCAAAGTGTTCATGCATTTCCATCTGGAGACCTATGCTCCCACTTGTGAGAGCTAGCAGAGCAGGGACAGAGTAGCTGCAGTCTGGTGAACAGAGGGAGCCTAAGGTCGCACTCTGAACTGCCCTTGATTCTCACAGTGAAAAGATGCAGCAACCATAACTCAGAGGCTGGCTAGGAAGCTAGTTCAGGGAGGGAGAATGTAGTTATAAAGCATTCCCTGGCTGGTAAGCAATGACAGTTGCTGACTATCGGAACCCAAGAGCTTCCCTGAACTGTACAACATCAACTGGGAAGGACCTCTGACCTTTATCAGCCAAGGATTTAAGCATCAAGACCAGCAAGGCTCCAAAGATCCAGATAGACACAGGGCCTTGCCATGGAGCTCAGAGGAAATGAGAACCATGCAAGTTTCTTCTCCCTTGGAGCCAGGAGATCACTAAACCATTCCCCTCCACATACACTTTCTCCACAGACACTATCGTGGAGAAAGATTGAGGAAAATATTAAAGTTCTGACCATATATCCAAACAAGAAGAGTCCCTCAAAGAGGCTGCTACAATTACAGAACTACAATGAATTTTCCACAGAAGGGAGTATTAAAACACACACACACACACACACACACACACACACACACACACACACACACACGCACGCACACTAATGCAAAACTTGCAGAAAACACAGGGTAGAAACTCTATTGCAGAATGAGGTGATACATTGTGTACCCCAATAAAGCTTGCCTGGGGATCAGAGGACAAAGCCAGCCACTATATTAAACATAGAGGTCAGGCAGTAGTAGCACACTCCTTTAATGCTGGCATTTGGGAGGCAGAGATTCATCCAGAACTCTATGAGTTCAAGGCCACACTGGGAACAGAGCCAGGCATGGTGGTACACACCTTTAATCCCAGCACTAGGAAGGAAGGAAGATGCAGGGCACAGAAAGGTATATAAGACATGAGTAAACAGGAAGTGTCTCTCATGAGGCTTAGGATTCCGTGCAGGTAAGAACATGGCTAGCTTGTTCTGTTTCTCTGATCTTTCAGCTTTCACCCCAATGTCTGGCTCTGGGTTTTTTTTTTTTATTAATAAACTGTTTAGCAATTCATGTCACAGCAGAATGTTATTTTATCTCTCTTACTACATGTCAGAATGTGAAAAAATAAAGTAACAATATCAATCACCTATAAAACAGCAATGAAGTTGATCTTAATATACATCAGCAAGCTGCCGGGCGGTGGTGGCGCACGCCTTTAATCCCAGCACTCGGGAGGCAGAGCCAGGTGGATCTCTGTGAGTTCGAGGCCAGCCTGGGCTACCAAGTGAGTCCCAGGAAAGGCGCAAAGCTACACAGAGAAACCCTGTCTCGAAAAACCAAAAAAATATATATATATATATATATATACATCAGCAAGCTACAGGAAGATGTAGGAATTAAGAGCGGTAGCCACACACATTTGTGCCAGGACACAAGTATGCAGGTCCAACGACAGTTTTGTAGAGTTGGTTCCTCCTTTGCACTTTTGTGTGAGTTCTGGGGAATCATTTCAACAGTTGGCATGACAAATGCCTGTTTACCTGCTGTGCCATCTCACAGGATCAAAAATTCATTATTTTTCTGGGTAATAGTGGTACACCCCTCTAATCCTAGCACTGAGAGGCAGGAACAGGTAGATCTCTGTAAGTGCTAGGCAAGCCAGGAGTACATAATGGAACACACACACCCTCTCTGGTGTGTGTGTGTGTGTGTGTGTGTGTGTGTGTGTGTGTGTGTGTGTGTGTGTGTATTTTATGTAGATATAACAAGAGCTGGGTAGGAGATTTTGATGCTGTCTTTATCTGCTTCTGTATGGTTTGACTTGTCACAGTCCTTATCCTTGTATATATTTTTTTAATTTCAAAAATTTTTTTTATTAAATTTTCTCATTTTATATAACATCCCCAGTTACCCCTCCCTCCCCTTCTCTCCACCACTCCTCATCTACTCCTCAGAGGGGGTAAGGGATCCTTTGGGTAGTCAACAAAATCTGGCATGCCAAGTTGAAGCAGGGCCTAGCCACCACCATCCCCCACCCCCCCACCCCCGCATCAAAGCTGAGCAAGGTATCCTACCCTAGGGAATGGGCTCAAAAAAGCCAGTTCATGTGCCCAAGATAAGTCCTGGTCCCATTGCCAGGGGCCCCACAAACAGATCAAGCCTCACAACTGTCACCCACATTCAGAGGGCCTAGTTTGGTCACATGCAGGTTCCCCATCTGTCAGTCCAGAGTTCGTGAGCTCTCATTAGCTTGGGTCAGCTGTCTCTGTGGTTTTCCCCATCATGATCTTGACCCCCCCCCCCCTTGCTCATATGATCCTTCCTTCCCCTCTTCAACTGCTCTCCAGGAGCTCAGCCCAGTGCTTGGCTATGGATCACTACATCTGCTTCCATCAGTCACTGGATGTAGGTTCTATGGTGACGATTAGGGTAATCACTCATCTGATTACAGGGGAAGGCCAGTTCAGGCACCCTCTCCACTGTTGCTAGGAGTCTTACCTGGGGCCATCCTTGTGTAATCCCAGGAATTTCCCAAGCACCAGCTTTCTCCTTTAACCATAATGGCTCCCTCTGTCAAGATGTCTCTTTCATTGTTCTTTCTCTCTGTCCCTCTCCCAACTCAGCCACCTCAATCCCTCATGTTCCCTGTCTCCATCCTCTCCCTTCTATCCCCTCTCCCAGTTTACCCAGGAGATCTTAACTATTTCCCCTTCCTGGGGCCCTCCATGTATGTCCCTCTTAGGGTCCTCATTTTTATCTAGCTTCTCTGGGATTGTGGATTGTATCCTAGTTATCCTTTGCTTTGCATCTAAAATCCACTTATGAGTGAGTACATACTGTGTTTGTTTTCTGGGTCTGGATTAACTCACTCAGGATGATATTTTCTAGATGATATTTCCACTTGCCTACAAGTTTCATGATGTCACTGTTTTTACTGCTGAGTAATACTGCATTGTGTAAATACACCACATTTTTTTTACCCATTCTTTAGTTGAGGGGCACCTAGGTTGTTTCCAGGTTCCAGCTATTATGAATAATACTGCTATGAACATAGTTGAGCAAGTGTCCTTGTGGTATGATTGAGCATCCTTTTGACATATGCCCAAAAGTGGTATTGCTGGATCTTGAGGTAGGTTGATTCCCAATTTTCTGAGAAACTGCCATATTGATTTCCAAAATGGCTGTAAAAGTTTGCACTCCCACCAGCAGTGGAGGAGTGTTCCTCTTACTCCACATCCTCTCCAACATAAGTTGTCTGCAGTGATTTTGATCTTAGCCATTCTGACAGGTGTAAGATGATATCTCAGTGTCATTTTGATTTGCATTTCCCTGATGGCTAAGGATGTTGAGCAATTCCTTAAATGTCTTTCAGCCATTTGAGATTCTTCTGTTGAGAATTATCTGTTTAGATCTGTACCCCATTTTTAATTGGATTATTTGGTATTTTGAGGTCTGATTTCTTGAGTTATTTGTATATTTTGGAGATCAACCCTCTGTCAGATGTGTGGTTGGTGAAGATATTTTCCCATTCTGTAGGCTGTTTTGTTTTATTTACCATATTCTTTGCCTTACAGAAGCTTCTCAGTTTCAAGAGGTCACATTTATTAATTGTTTCTCTCAGTGTCTGTGCTACTGGTGCTATATTTAGGAAGTAGCCAATGCATTCAAGGCTACTTCCCACTTTCTATTCTATCAGGTTCACTGTAACTGGATTTATGTTGAGTTCTTTGATCTACTTGAACTTGAGTTTTGTACACGACAAT